TTGAGGATGCTTTAACCAATTTATTACAAAGATCACATGAATAATCTAGCATAAAACATTATGTCTCGAGAAGTCTGGCAAGCTTTTTGAATAACTGTGGGGTAGAAATTCTAAGGATGAGATGTGAGGGCTGGAGAGAGGGCTCGGCGTTGAGAGCTCGTACTGTTCTAGCAGAGGGCCCGAGTTCAATTCCCATCACTGGTGCTGGGCAGCTCATAACTGCCCCATAGCTCCAGCTCCAGGGGACCAGATGCCCTCTCTGTCTTCCAAGGGCGCCTGTACTGTTGCGCACAAATCCTCATGCAGATACACACATACACACACGTACACATACAGAACTAAATATTTTTGGGGGGTTCAGAACTAAAATCTTAAAAGACGAAACAACTTTGTCAGTATTTTACCAGAGTGGGGTGTAAATAATAGTGCATATTACAACTGGCGACTAAGTTTAATGAAATGTAGTTCACATTCCTTTCTTTTATTTTTCCATCACCCCCCTTTGTTGTGATAAAATATGCTTAACATTAATGCTGGCTGTGGTGGTGCAAGCCTTTAATCCATCCATCTATCTATCTATCTATCTATCTATCTATCTATCTATCTACCATCTATCCATATCTCTCTTTGTACGTAAAACATTGAATTTTCCACTATCATTTTTTCAACACAGGGTCTTGCTATGTATGTAAGCCCTGGCTGTCCTGGTTGGTACTCACATCAATCCTCTTGCCTCAGCCTTTTGATGTTGGGTTTAGTGTTATGTGATGCTTGGCTCTAAGTCATTTTTAAGTGTGCAGCGTGGTTTCTAAGATATTGATACCAGCCCCCAGCCATCTACCTACAGTGTGTTTTTATCTAGCAAAAGTGAAGCTCTATACTCACTATGTAACTTTCTGTTCTTGCTCTCTAAGCCCCAGATAAGTGCCATTCTTCCTGTCTCTATCAGTTTGATTTCTCTAAGCCCCTCATATAAATTGGGTCAGAAAGTGTTTGCTTTCCTTGGTGACCAATTTATTTCATTAGTCACATGACTTATTCTACATCCACATTGTAGCCTGTGTCAGAATTCCCTTCCTTTTATGGCCAAATTATCTTGTATTTTATGGGTATTCCACGTGTATCCACTCATCAGTTGGACATTTGTAGGCAACCTGCATCCCTTTCACCTTTGGCTGCTTCAAAGAGTGGTGCTATAAACTTGGGGCATAAATCTCAGCCCTGGGATTTGGGGAATATAAGCATTTCTGTTTTATATGTCACAGATTTAGGTCTCTGCTATTTATCAGTCAGCACTTTATTGCATTTCAAAATGAACAATTCCTGATTGAACTAAAGGCAGTTCCTCAGAAATTATTTTTCTTTATCAATTGTTGCTTTCTTGTAGTTTCCTATTCTTGCTTTATATATGTAAGATTAATCATTTCTCACATAGATGACAGATTATAAAACCCTTTTTTTTCTGTTTACTGCTAATGTTTTTCTTTTCCTTTCTAGATTGTACACATTTGTGGGGTTCAGTGTGACATTTCAATGCCGATAGCATCAGGCTAATTAGCGTTTCCATCATTTTGAGCATATAGCATCTTTGTGAACACTAGAATTCCAGTCTTCTGGCTATTTGAAATATACAGTAAATACTGTTACCTGTAGTTAATATGCTCTAGAGTACTAGACCCATTTGTCCTCTCCGTGTTTCTATCCATTATCCCGTCTCTCTCCCCATTAAGCCCATCTTAAGAGATTGTTCCTTCTGTCTCTTATTTTTACCGCTGAACCTCATATGTTAAGTTTTCTTTAGTCTTCTTGGCTATGGTTTAGTCTATTTAGACTTCCATAATAAAATATGAAACCTAAGTGTGTTTTTTTTCCCTGTAGTTCTGGAGGCCAGAAGTCTAAGATCATTGGCAGGCATGGGTCTGTTGGCTATAGACAGCCACTTTCAGTGTCTGCATCAAGAATTTTCTCTGTGTGTTTTCGGTAGATCAAATTGAGTGTCTTGCAATGCTAAGCAAACTCTTTAGCATGGAGCCACAATCTCTGTCCTCCTTTTCCATAAGGGCACAGGTCTTGGATTTTTTTTTTTTTTCATTTTTCAAGACAAAGTTTCTCTGTTTAGCCCTGGCTGTCTTGAAACTCGCTCTGTAGACCAGGCCGGCCTCAAACTCAGAGATCCACCTGCCTCTGCCTTCTGAGTTCTGGGATCAAAGGCGTGTGCCACCACTACCTGGCCCAACTGCCCTTTCTAATGACTTCATTTACCTAAACGACCTCCTACAAGGCCTCATCTTCATCCAGTGCAGTCTCCAGGGGACTAGGACGTTGACATTTGGGTGGAGTGGTGGTGGTGGTGGTGGTGGTGAGACTCAGTTTATTACATCCATCACAATGGAAGAAAAGTCTATTCATATGCAGTGTGGGGACTGGGGGAGATTTTGTCAGAGAAAGTCTTTAAAACGTAGATCCAGCTGAGAGGAGAAAAGCAAAAGTTTACATTTTCTTTTTGCCATTAGAAATAACAAATTGGGGGTGGTGGTGGGGGACCACTAATTTGTAGGTTCCCCAGCGGAGCAGGTGTGGCCAGCTCTCTGTAGCTTTGCTGTAGATGATACCTCTGACGGAAGCTGGCTAGTGGGTTCAAACTCGTTTAGTAAAAGCTGCCTGCTGTGGCCCTCCTTGCTTTGTATCTCAAATTTCCAGGTTAGCAGTTCCTTGGAAAAAGAACTAAAAAGACATGAGCTGTAAAACAGTCTGCAGTGACTTCTCTAACAGACTCCAGGTCGTCTGATGATCCCCAACTAACACAAAACACTGTCTGACCCTGTTCATTCACTGAGAGAGGAAGTGTGGCTTTCATTTAATTTGCAGAAAACAGCAAGGTTTTTTTTTTAATTAAAAAATTGATACATTTGTAGGTATTTTGTGGGGCATGTGGAGGAGGCCACATGGCCCTGGAACTGGAGCTACAGTAGTTGTGAGTCACCATGTGGGCGCTGGGGGATCAAACCTGGGTCCTCTGAAGGAGCAGCCAGTATGTTGAAACACTGAGCCATCTCTCCATCTTTAGTAAAGTATTGTAAGATGAAAGCTAATGACTTTCATAAAGATATTCTGGCAAAAGAGAAGGAAAAACTTCCCTCCCCCTAACCCATAACAAAGATGGCTATAGAATCTAGATCCATGACTCACAATGTATTCTTCCTGGCTACTTACCCCATCCTACCCATAAAAGCCATATCATGGACCTGGGCTCTCTAAGATGGGTCTTATAGGCAGTGGCTCTTCCCATCATCCAGGGTGCCAGCCTTTGAATAAAAACAACTTCCTCTCCTCCAGCTCTTGTGTCCTGAGTACTGGCCTTTGAACAGTAGTCAGAACTGGATCCAGTACTACAACTGTTTGAGATAAAGCAGCCAATTTATTTTGGCTCATGGTTTTGGAGGTTTCACTCCATGATAAACTTCTCTATTGATTTGGACCCATGGTGAGGCAGCTCATTATGATAGAGAGCGTGGGAGGAGCAAGGTTACTTGGCTCCTGACTGCAAATGGGGAGGCCAAAAAACAGAGACATCAGTCTCCTCATGAAGGCACGCCGGCAAACACTGGAAGACCTCCCAGCAGGCTCCTCTCTCACAATTTCCTCATATTCTAATAATGTTTTAGTCTGGGGACCGAGCCTTTAACACACAAGTTTTTTTTTTGGGGGTGGCATTTCAGATCCAAATTGTAGTTATCAGACACCTGGACCAAGTCACTTAATTAATTGGCTTTCTTTCAGTGACAAACGTATTGACCTCATAGGGTGTTGTTGGGAGAAAACAGGTATATAAGTGAGAAAACATCTGTAGAAAATTTGTGTGTGTGTGTGTGTGTGTGTGTGTGTGTGTGTGTGGTGCGTGCTTGTCTGTGCCAGTTCATGTGGAGGCCGGAGGTGGATTTTTAGAATCTTCCTTTATTACTCTCTTCCCTATTCTTCCAGACAGTGTCTTAGAACCTGTAGTTTGTTGTTTTTGCTACACTGGTCCTGTGGATCTGCCTGTCACTTTCCTTTCCCTCCTGTGTTGACATCGCAGGTGTGTGTTGCCATGCCTGGCTTCTTATACGGGTGCTGGGGATTCGAACTCAAGTCCTCATGCTTACCAAGCAAGTTCTTTACCCACTGAGTCATCCCCTAGCCTTTAGAGTTAACGTGTAACACTAGCGGGGCATGAGACTCAGTGTGGTGTCAGGGTCATGACTTCCATATTTTGAGGACCTTCCCTACTCAAGAGTGAAGACCCACAGCTGAGCGGTGAGCAGAGAGGGAGATTCTTTGGAGCACTGGGTCCTATGTGGGGGTATCTTCATTAAACCCCTCACCATTGGAAGGGAGCGGTGGACTCTGGGTCTCACTCCTAACCAAGAAGCTATTTGTAATTGATGCCCACTTCAGTAGCGTGTCCTGGGGAATATCAACCACATTCCTCCAGGCCCAGGAGTATCTGACCAACACAAAATGAACTTCACGGTGGGTTTTGTTTGTTTGTTTGTTTTGTTTCTGTCTTATTGGTCCTTTGCTTGTTTGCTTTGACTTTCTTCCTTCATTTCTTTCTTTTGAGAGAAGGGGAACATAAAGCTGGGTGGGTAGGAGAGGAGGAGGATCTGGGAGGAGTTTGGGGGGGGGAGGAATGAGAGTGAACAGGGCAGAGCTGGGGAGCCTAGTGCTGACTGCATAGGAAGCTGTGACTGGCTAGTTGCCAGGCCACAGGCTCAGATTGGGCAAGAACAGGGAACTGATCTGTAGGTCATTCTGATGCTGGCATCAACAGTTCTGGAAAATGAAGAGGCAGGAAGTGAAACAGGGGAGGGATGGAAAGAAACAGCAAGTTGTATCCCGGCCCCTCCACACCTGGCTCCCCTCCCTACATTGTGCAATAAGGGGTGGGGCTGTGTGTGTGTGTGCACATGTGCGCGTGCGCGCAAGGAGACCTTCCTTCTCCTTTCTCTGCTTGTCAGAACAGAAACATGTCCTTCACCCCCAGTGTTCATTGCCCATGTTTCCAACTGTGTTTCTATTTCTATTTACTGTCCAAAGTCCCAGGGGGCAGGAGATGACAGGTTAGATGGACTTAGACACTCAGACACAGGGACCCAGCTCTCGTCTAGACCAACCCCCTCTTCCCTTCTCCTCTAGCACCACCTGTCCAGTTGCCCCAGGTTTAACCCCTCTTTCTCCTTGTGCGTGGGCTGCCTTCGGAAGCCAGAGTTGGTCCTCTATACCTATAGCAGGTAACAGATGGGGGGAGGCAGGTGGGGCTGGGGTATCTAGGGCTAAAAAAGAACAGGTTCAGGGACATTGAGGGAGGAACACGCTGTATAGTTTGGTCCACGAGAGTATGGTAGGAAGGCTCCTGGCTGCACCAAGGGCCAGAACATCTCCTGGGAAGAAATGGGACCCCGCAGTATTTCAAGCCTTTCCCCAGACTAACCTCCAACCTCTGAACCACTCACCCTGACCTACGGATCCCTCCACAGGAGTTCGCATCTCAGCACAAACCCAAGTTCCAGCTAAAAAAAATCTCAACTCAGTCCCTGACCTAGCTCTGGCCCTGGGGGCCCACCATGGAGAAGGATTTTCAAGACATTCAGCATCTGGACTCTGAGGAAAACGACTATCAGCCCAGTGGCGATGAGGAACAAGGCACTCATGGGCAGAGTCCTAGGACAGAAAATCCATTTTGGAAAGGCAAGTGTCTTGTTTCTGGGGCCTCACCCGGACCCCCGTCTCAGCTCCCAGCTCCTCTGTCTTTCTCACATTGACTCAGTGAGCAGGGCTTACATTTGTCATAGTCAGAGCCACTATTGCTGTGACGAACACTGTGACCAAAGCAACTTGGGGAGGAAAGGGCTTATTTGGCTTATGCTTCCATATCGCTGTTCATCATTGAAGGAAGTCAGGACAGGAACTCAAACAGGACAGGAACCTGGAGGCAGGAGCTGATGTAGAGGCCACGGAGGAGTGCTGCTTCCTGGCTTGCTCCTCATGGCTTGCTCAACTGCTTTCTTCTGGAACCCAGGACCACCAGCCCAGAGATGGCTCCACCCACCATAGGCTGAATCCTCCCACGTCAATCACTAATTAAAATGCCCTACAGGCTTTGCCCACAGCCCAGTCAGACGAAGTCGCTTTCTCAGTTGAGTCTTCCTCCTCTCAGATGACTCTATCTGTGTCAAGCTGACATAAAACTAGCCAGCTCAGTGTCCCTCTACATGAGAGCGGCTGATACCGCTGATCACAGGGTCCCAAGGAAAGGGTGTGTGCCTAGAAGAACACCTGGAGGCAGAGATGAGTCCTCCTCCAGACATGTGTGTGTGCATGTATGTGCCTAGGAGCGTTGCGGAATCCAGAACTGTGGGTGTGGGGATGAGTTGGGGTGGGTGCAGAAATGGGCACAGGGAGATGCTGGGAGATCCCACTAGTTTCCTGCCTGATTCCGCCTCTTACACATTTTGAACACATCCCCTCCCCCGCCCCCCATGGTTGGGAAAAGGTTTTAGGGCAGGAGAGCCAACTACCAGGTATGTTTCAGACCCTAGGCTGGCTACCCAGTGTGTTTCAGATACTGTATTTTTCTCTTTCTCCTTCTCCTTCTCCTTCTCCTTCTCCATCTCCTCCTCCTCCTCCTCCTCCTCCTTTTTTTTTTTTAAGATTTATTTATTTAATACATATCCAGTGTTCTGCCTGCCTGCTGGAAGAGGGCACCAGCTCTCATTACAGATGGCTGTGAACTACCATGTGGGTGCTGGGAATTGAACTCAGGACCTCTGGAAGAACAGCTAGTGCTCTTAACACCTTGAGCCATCTCTACACCTCCAGACACTGTATTTTTCATCTCAGAGGAAACTTGGGACTTTGTTGTGGTTGTGAGACTCCCAAGGTCATTTCCTACTGCTATACTGAGTCAGATATTTGCAGCCATACTTAGGACTGCCATTTAATGCCTCTTGGAGAGAGGCCTCTGAGCTCTCCCCAACCCCAAACCCCTAAGCACAGCCACCCTGCCTCTCACCTCCTCTGACACCCTCCTGAAATCTGAATTCCTCTCTGTGGTGATTGGTATGTGCCCCCAACATGATCCCCAGCAGTGTTGGGAGGGAGAACCTAGTGGAAGGGGGTAGGTCTTGAGGACTCTGCCCTCCTGAGTGGATTATTGACATCATTACGAGAGAGAAGCCTTATTAAAAGCTTTCCCCTTCGCTGTCCCTTCACCCTCCCTATGCCCCTGCATCACACTTTGGTTTGATGCATGAGAAAACCCTACCAGACACAGCCCTCAGTCCCCGGCTTTCCAGACTCAAAAACATAAACCTGGTCATTATAAGTTTCTTAGACTTGTGCATTCTGTTAAGCAGCACAAGACAGGCTAGAATATACTCCATCTAGAAGCACTTTCTGACCAGTCTCCCCAAATGGAAATCCACAGCTAAAGCCCTGACTGCTTCTGCTAGTACTGTTCATGCAGGAAACCCTTGTCCTGATTCCCACCGACCTGTGACTTATCGAGTCTCAACCCAGTCAACCAGAATAAACCAGCTGAGCCACGGACTAGGTCTAACATCATGGACAGGCCATTCGATCTCTTAGTGTTCCCTTTTTTTTTTTTTTTTTTTAAATCTTATAATGACAGTGACAAGAGTAGCCTTCTGACTTAGTGGTTCTGGAAATCATGAGTTAAAACATATAAAGCACCGTGTAGGGAAGTTTGAAATGCTCTACCCAAGATGGAATAGAAGCTCCTAGATTTAACATTCTGTCAGAGAAAAAAAAAACAATTAAAACACACACATACACACACATATATACACACACATGTACATTTGTACATATGTGTACATGTATGTATGAAACAACAGTTTTCCAGACACTGGACATCAGGCCATGAGGGCATTGACCCCTGAAAGACAGGGGAATGAACTAGATGAGTCTTCCCACTGCCCAGCTCACCTGTTGATGCAGAGGGGTCTGAGTGCAGTTTTATGGTACATAAACAAGCAGGGGGAGGGGCTGAGAGCAGCCACCTGCTCTGATCCTCAAGAGGCAAGCCCGCTCATGCAGGTGAAGACATAGGAGAGTGAGAATGCAAACAGGAGAGGGTGGCAAAGTGTATGGATGCATGCATGTCTGCGAGTCTGCACGGATGAGAAGACCTGTTTGTTCGAGGGATAAGAAAAAGGTGTGCGCGTGGGCAGATGGCTCAAGGGGCAGCAGAGGTTCCCGTGAGATGATGGAAGGGTGAAGGAAAAGTGCTGGAGGTAATGCTGGGGTTTCTGGGCATAGGAACAAGGGTGGTGGGAACTGGGGGAGATGGGTAAAGTGGATGGCCTTGGACAGTGGCTTCTGGGGGGCAGGCAGAATGGTGGGGTGAGCTAGACTGGAGAATCCCGGTGGAATTGTGAAGGGAGGTGTCGCTCCAGGATTGGGCTTGTGTGACTGGCGTGGGTCCATGATGTAGCCCGTCAACACTCCAGTGTGACCAGACAGGGGCTATGAAGGACAGAGGTGATCTCTAGGTCTTTTTGATTCATGGGCAGGAATAAAAACCATTTGTAGAGCTCCCTTCTTAGGGTGTCTAGGAAAGGCCAGTTCTGCACCCCTGTCTTCACTGTGTCTCCCTGTCTCCAGGTGTAAGGTCTCACCTGTGTACACAGCTGGCACACCTGTGTCACGCGCATGTGAGCGCTTTCGAATGTTCATGTGGGTGTGTGTTTGTAACTGTGTGTGTGGGGATCAAAATCCACCCAATTCCCTCAGCACCCACCTGATTTCCTCCCTTACCCAGGCTGTGCCTCCTCAGACTTCGGTGGCCCTGTCCCCTTCTGTGTCTTGTTCTCTGTCTCTAGTCCTCTGGAATCGTTTTCTGACACATACACTCTCTCTCACAGGGCAACCTCCTTCCCAGCCCTTTACACAGAGCCTTGGCTTCAGGCTCTACCTCAATCTGCTGGCCCTGGCCTTCAATGTCCTGCTGCTGGTGGTCATCTGTGTGATTTCATCTCAAAGTGAGGCCATGGCCTGGCAGGGAAGAGGCCGGGATAGAGAAGTGCTCTGGGTGGTGGGACACAGATGGGGGGAAGACAAGGAGAGGTGGAGGCAGCTTGGGGCAGGTTCTGGGTGCGGATGGAAATCAATGGTGGGGAAGTGATGGGATCAATGATGGTGGTGGTGATGGGTGACATGAGGCCAGTCACATGGACAACGATGTGACACACTGGGACACAGCCCCACACCCAACTGGTCTCAAATGTTCCCTGACCAGGCATGCAGCTGCAAAAGGAGTTTTTGACCCTGAAAGAAAGTTTCAGCAACTTCTCCTCCAGCACCCTGATGGAGTTCGGGGCTCTGGATTCCCACAGTGAGTTTGGCGGGGTGGCTGGGACTTTATCCATGTATGTTTATCCATGTCTGGATATGGTGCTGGGTCTGCAGTAGGAGTGTGTTCATGGGTTGTGCGCATATAAACCAAGGCAGACAATCCAGCCGTGGGAACTGGCAAGGCTTCCAGAGACAGGAGCCCTGACCTAAGGGGCTTAGAAGGTAAATCTGGGCAGGAGGTGACATGGTGGTGGTTAGTGCCAGGAAGAGACAAGAAGAAGCCAGGATGTCCAGGGATGAAGAGGACCACTGGATATTTTAGGACCACATACACTTTTAGTGTGGCAGGAGGTGGTGACTGATGGACCAAGGCGAGGGCTCAGAGAGGTGGAGGGGCCAGGTCACACAGCAAGCTGTGTGGGTTGAGCGGAGCCTGGCCTGAAAGCATGGGGGACAAGTGAAAGAATTCAAGCAGCCCAGAGGCCTCACTTGGGTGAGGCTGGGAGTCTAGGTGTAGACGAGCAGCATGTGTGACAAGGTACCCAGGAGTCTACAGCTGGAGAAGCTCTCGGGAGGCAGACTGATGAGGCAACCATTTGTCATCCCCCTTTCTCAGGAGGTAGCAGAGATGACACATTGACATCCTTGAGAGCCAAACTGGAGAAAAAGCAGCAGGACCTGAAAGCAGGTCAGAGGTCACTCCCCACCCTCACTTCTGGGTCATGATGATGTGTAGTGTGGTATGAATACCTGCAGTTCTGTGCCTGGTCTTGGCATGTGTAGAGCCTCGTGTCTGCTGCATCTCTGTCCATGTATTTGTCCCTTAGATCACTCCACTTTGCTCCTGCACCTGAAGCACTTCCCACTGGACCTGCAAATCCTTACCTGTCAGCTGGAATTCCACCACAGCAATGGTAGGGACACAAATCCTAACCTGTCAGCTGGAATTCCACCACAGCAATGGTAGGGACAGCGACGGCTCTGATTCCAGTGTGTCTGTCTCTTCCAGGTGGATCTCATTTCCCTCTGCCCTTCTGTTCCCTCAGGCACAGAATGCTGTCCTGTTAACTGGCTGAAGCATGGGGGTAGCTGCTACTGGTTTTCTCGGGTTGGGCTGACCTGGGCTGAGGCTGCCGAGTACTGCCAGCTGGAGAATGCCCACCTGCTGGTTATCAACTCATGGGACGAGCAGGTGAGCAACCCTGAAGGCAGGCTTGATCAAGCAGCCTGATCAAGCTTCCGTTATCTACCTATTATTATTTACAATGATGGCTATTATTATCAAGTGTGTATGCCATGGCGTGCGTGTGGAGGTCAGAAGATAACTTAGTGGAGTTGGTTCTCTCCTTCCTCCTTTATGTTTTGGAGATTGAACTCAAGTCATCAGGCTTGCATTTATCTATTGAGCCATCTCACTGGCCCTTGGATTTCTTATTTATTTACTCAATTTGTTTGCTCTCTTCCTCTTTCACTATCCTTTTAGAATTTCATGCTTTTATATAACGTGTTCTGATCTAATCTACCTCCTCCTAGGCCTTCCCTCCAAATTATACGGGAACCACTGTATCACATGTCCCTCCCAACTTTACACCTTCCTCCTCCTCCTCCTCCTCCTCCTTCTCCTCCTCCTCCTCCTTCCCCTTCTCCTCCTCCTCCTCCTCCTCCTTCCCCCATTTTTTTTTTTTTTAGATAAGGTCTTTTAAGAAGCTCAAGCCAGAGGTCATGGAGGACGGTGTGGAACTGTGTTTCTGGACATGACAGGGCCATTGCACACATGAACATTCAGTGTGCAGAAGTTGCAAGCACAAGACCTGCACTAGATCAAGCCAATCCAAAGCCCAGGGTGATGGGAGTCACCCCCCCCCCACCACTGAGGGACTGAGAGAGGCAGAGGCAGGTTTTATTTTTTTTCTTCCTGGTTATATTTCCTATTTTTAACCTAAGGAAGAATACAGAAGAAGAGTGTGGTAGGGCTCTGGGCAGCTCATGGTAGAACAGTAATTGATCCTAAGAGTTGGGAGCCAGGAGAGGCAGGAGTCCAGGGGGCAGGAGACCAAGTGATGCAGAGACAGTCACAAGACAGAATGACAGACAAGACTTTAAGGCCAGGGCTTGGGAGTTAATTCAATGGAGGGGTTGAGAGTCCTTTCTTGCTTTGTTGGCTGTTGGGTGTGGCAAAAGGAACACAATGTTAAGACTTAAATTGCATTCCTTCAGTGGGTCATTGGGTCCCCATTGACCATAGGCATTCTGTGTCTTCCTTCCCCACTGCTGTCCCCCCTGAAAACCAAAGTTCACAAAGGGGAACCAATCTGGTAGAGTGGATGGCCAGTTTTGCACAAGGAGGGTAATGATAGAATTTGATGCAGGTCTTACTACAATTTGGAGGTGTTCATGAGCTCATTTCTTTAGTCCCCACTGCCCTGTTGGGTGGGCACTCTTATCCACATTTGGAGTTCAGGACCCCAGGGAAGGGAGGTTAGGTGATGAACTACAGAGCCAGCAAACCATCACGGAGTCAGGATTGAGACCCACTTGGCCTCTTTGCTCAGTATTTTCAACTGCTGCTTCTTTGCTCAGTGTTTTCAACAACTGCCTTAATACTAAAGGGTCTGTGGGGGCTTTGTTTTGTTTGGAATTGGAAGTGTTACAGTGCTAAAGCAATTAAACCATTTGGTATAGAAGTCAGAATGTATTTATTGAGTATTGGCTATCTGTCAGCTATGTAAGTGATTTTCACTGTAATTTCTAACATATTTTGCTTTACTGACTAGGTTGAAGTTTGCTGGCATTTAGTTACTTTTGACATAAGAAAACATCAATTTTATATGATTCAGCCTAAGATTTGGCTCATGAGTTCATGACTGCAGCTTCATGGTGGATTGTACTGTCGTCATTCTGACCATTCCACTTAATACTCAGGCCTTGAACTCATCTTTGGCTGACATACAAAGTGTGGTCCTTGAATTTTTTTAGTTTCTGTCCATCCTTTTAGTTACAACCATTTTTGGGTCTCTGTGTTTTAAATTGTGGTTTTCAGCTTTGGGTAACAAATGTTAACCCTGTGCTTCTTACTTTTTTTAAAAAATATTTATTTTTAAATTAGAAACAAGCTTCTTTTACACATCAATCTCGGCTCCCTCTCCCTCCCCTCCTCCTCTGCCCCCCACTGACCCCTTATCCCATCTCCTTTCTGCTCTCCAGGGAGGGTGAGGCCTTCCATGGGGATCTTCAAAGTCTGTCATATCATTTGGAGCAGGGCCTAGACCCTCCTCAGTGTGTCTAGGCTGGTAGAGTATCCCTCTATGTGGAGTGGGCTCCCAAAGTCCATTCCTGTACTAGGGATAAATACTGATCCACTAACAGAGGCACCATAGATTAACCAGACCTCCAAACTGACATCCTTGTTCAGGGGGTCTGGAGTAGTCCTATGCTGGTTTCCCAGCTATCAGTCTGGGATCCATAAGCAACCCCTTGTTCAGGTCAGCTGTTTCTGTGGGTTTCTCCAGCCTGGTCTTGACCCCTTTTCTCATCACTCCTCCCTCTCTGCAACTAGATTCCAGAGTTCAGCTCAGTGTTTAGCTGTGGGTGTCTGCTTCTGCTTCCATCCGCTACTGGATGAAGGCTCTAGGATGGCATAGAAGGTAGTGATCAATCTCATTATGGGAGAAGGGCTTTTAAGGTAGCCTCTCCACTGTTGGTTAGATTGTTAGTTGGGGTCAACCTAGTAGATCTCTGGACATTTCCCTAGTGCCAGATTTCTCTTTAAACCTAAAGTGGATCTCTCTATCATGGTATTTATTTCTTGCTCTCCTCTATTCTTCCCCTGACTCCATCTTCCCGCTCTCTCCAGTCCTCCTCTCCCCTTCTCTTCTCCCCATCTCTTTCTTCTAACTCCCTCTCCCCTCCCACCATGCTCCCTATTAGCTCAGATCTTGTCCCTTTGTGCTTCTTACTTTTAAACTAAGTACGTTGTCCTCAAAAATGACCTGACCAATGGTTTTTGGGACAAATGGCTTATATGCTCAACTGTTGGTGCACAGTCTACAGCTGCTTGTAATGTAAATGCTCAGCTTCCTCTTTGCAGGTGGGGCAGGAATTCCACCTTGATTTCCCTCCCATCACTGTTGTGAACGGGAGCAGTTTCTTCTATGCTCACATAGGAAAGGGCAGAGGAAGGATCTGGACTATTTTCCTTGGTCATCTAGCACTATTGACTGCTCTCAGCGTTGAACTTGGGACTTCATTTGTCTTAATTATTCAGTTTCTTTGGGATAGGAAGTGTGACTACAACATCAGGTGGCAACAACCACCTGTCTCCAGATCCCTTGGTACTTCTGAATCTGTGGAGCAGCCTCCTCAGCCCTGGGGAGGGACATATTTGCTGAACTCTAGACTTGATGGGCATGGTTGTCACTGAGTCTGCTCTTGCATGAGTGGGCAACCGTTGTCTCTGGGGGAGTGTGTGTGTGGAATTAGACAGTATTTCTCCAAATGCAGTGGGGACTCTTCACACACTATCAAAGGGGATTATTAGAGTGCGTTCTAGTCAAACTGACTCTCTGCTTATTTTATAAAACTAGGTGACCATACATTCCTTGTAATCATCCAAAACGATTGGATTTAAATTCCCAGAATAGCTGCATTTGTAAGTGCAAGCCCCTTGAAAAGGCTTTAGTCCTAGGGATCTAGCTGTAAGCATAGGGACGTTTGCATTGAAGCCTGTGGCAGTTCCCTGATTGGGCCAGCTGCCTTTTACCCAGGCATCTTCTATTTTCAGTGGAGACTGTCAAATGTCAGGTCAAAATGTAGTTCTGGGCAGTGAGCCCAAGCTTGGAAGTGCTGGAGCCCACAAAGTCACAGCAGGAGAACTAGGGGCCAACAGAGAGAAGAATGAAACCAAGGTGCATCGTGGGTTTTGGGATTTGTGGGACAGCAAGGGCAGGATCACCGAGATTCTGGTGCAGAAGATGAGAAGAGCAGCATTGCCATAGCAGCAGTGCTAGGGATGCAGTGGGAAATGGGCCCTGGCTGGGAACAGGATGGTCATCACAAGCTAGATGCTGGGTTGTTTTTCTGAGCTCTAATAACTGCCTTTCAAGGCGAGAGTTACTATGGCACCCACCTTGGGGAGCTACTAAGGCTCAAATGAGATGACCCTTGCAAAGCACTTGCTACAAAGTCAGGCACAGGAAATACTCATTTAACACTAGCTAGGCTCACAGAGGGAAAAGGGAGGGTATAGTTGTTGGGAGCTGAGGCTTCAGCATTTGAGCAGGTCAGGCTGGGGTATGGTGGGGTCACTTGGATGCTCTCGTGGATCAGGGATGAAGCAATCTGCTCTCACAATTGTTTTTCTAGAAATTCGTTGTGGAACACACGGGCTCATTTCACACTTGGATAGGTCTCACTGACAGAGATGGCTCCTGGAAATGGGTGGATGGAACCGAATACACAAGCAACTTCAAGTCAGTGCCTCCCTGAGTGCCTCTCCTTGTTTTCTCCAGGGATGACCACCTGGCCTTTCGCCTAAATGCACTCCTATAGGTCCCTCAGGGGCCAATTTCCCCCAACCTTTTCCTTCCCACCCTCACCCTGCTTCCAAGTCTGCACATATTTAATCCTTGAATTCTTCCAAGGCTGTGCATTGTGGGGGTGGGGGCAGGGTTGTAGGGAGATTGGACCCTGAGTTTTCTTTGGCTTACCTTCTTAGGAACTGGGGCTTCTCTCAGCCAGATAACTGGCAGGGCCATGAACAGGGCGGAAGTGAAGACTGTGCTGAAATCTTGTCAGATGGGCACTGGAATGACAACTTCTGCCAGCAGGTGAACCGCTGGGCCTGTGAAAAGAGGCGCAATATCACCCACTAGGAGCCTGCTCTACGGTGCCTTCCTTATCGTGCCATCCCCCCACCTCCCAACCCCCTGCATCACCGCAACTTCTTCACTGGGGATGTTGAAGCAAAGAAGAGAAAAGAGTCTGCAGCTTGAGGAGGAGTTATGGGAAAATGGCAAGGGGGTGGCTTTATTATCTCACTCTCTGGGAAGGCTGACAATCTGGCTCTCTCCACAACACTGCAATTGTTATAAATTTCAGCCTTCAGAATGTAGAAGGAAAAAAAATTGATACTTGAAAGTCATGTGGCCTGGGTATTTGGAACTGGGACAAAAGAGAGGGAGCTGGGAGGGTTTGGAGGAAGCCAGGTGTGTTCCTGATGACCATTCCGTGACACACTGATGATCAGAGAGGGAGGGAAGAGGCAGGAAGCAGGAACCTTGGCGGCTAGTGTCTAGATGGTTAGAGCTGCTGTGGGATCCTCTGGATTCAAGGGCTCCCCAAACCTACTTGGCAGGGAATGCTCTTACTCTAACCCAAGCCCCTGGAGAAGGAGGGCACATACATGTGTGAGCACCCCTCCCCCAAGATTTCCTTCCTCCCTCCACTTTGCCCCAGAGTTAACCACTTCCAGGGTGTCCTGTTGGGGTGTTTCCTGTATACCCACATATGCAATGCTGCAGAGAATCAGATACCTGCTCCCCAACACTTCGAAATGATCTATGATTGTTCTAACAGACGCCACTGCCTGAAAGGGTTTTACTTCCTTGACTGTGGTATCTGTAGAGAAATCTGAAATATGAATGTTCCTGGCTTCATTTAATTTTTCACCACAATAGGTAAAGAATTGCCATCTTTTGTTTGTCTTTATCTATAATGTTGGAAGCTTCTGATGAGTCAAGAGTTGCCAGTGCTTGGTTACAGATTTTCAATGACCCTCCCCTCAAACAAACACAGGTTGCATTAAACTTGAACAAGGTACTGGGAACCAGGAAACTTGGATTTAGACAGCTATCTCTGGTCACAGGCATGGAAAGCCCCATTCCTGTGACCTTGCCATTTGCAGCTCATGTGGCCTCTAGTCCAGTTCTCTGCAGAGTCCTCGTTGCTAACTAAGCCATCTGTGTTTCTACCAGCACTCTAAGCTCTGACCCGAGGACTGTGCAGTTATGTTCTGCAGCCTAAGCTTTTCCTAGCCTGTTTTCTCCAAATGCTTTCAAATTCCTTCTGCAAACCAGCTCCAAAAGCTAAAGCAGCACATTGCAGACAGCTGCAGCAGCAACCTCTCTTCTTTGGTGCTGATTTTCTTTATCAATTGGCTCTTTATCTATAAACTAATGGACTATATCAAGGCATATGGGACATAACTAGTGCTAGCCCTGGGGAAAATGCATAACCTTAAGATTTTTAGTAAGTGAAAACTGAAGACTGAAAAACACAATTACCCAACTTAAAAATTAGAAAATCAATTACAAAATCAAAATGTAGCAGGAGAGAGTTCATAGGGATAGAATTTAACCCATACTTACGACTGTAAACCCAATGACCGTAGAAGTCTCAGACCCTAGTAGGGAATTGCTCTTCAGCTGAATTGACATGTCACAAAGTCACCCATGAAATATCTGTGTTAGTGCTCACAAGCAAAGGCTACTCTCTCCACCTTAGACAGAGAAGCCATACAAGATACTGAGAAATAAAGGACAGTTGAGTGCTTGGTCCTAAACAAGACATTTACAAGACCCCTTAAGGCTCAGGGAGCATTGACGAAGAAGGCAGAAAGATGGTAAGAGCCACAGATATGGAGGCTGGCTGTGAAGGGACTTCTTCCAAGCACGACACAGCTATAGCAATCATGAATTCACAGAAGCTGCATTGCCTGGTCCTGGGCCCACACAAGTCATGACCTCCTAACAGGCAGCTCTGGTGTGTGTGTGTGTGGGGTC